CATCCCTTAACCAGTTGTTTCCTTCATCTGTGATACATCTCGTGAGTGCTATGTATCCTTCACTGATCAGTGACCAAGTATCAGAAATACTGAAGCTTTAACAGTGTGACTCTTTGCAAGGAGAGAGCCAATGTCCCAGAGATACTGCTGCCACATTGATTCCCACTATGGCTGTGCATAGAAGAGTAATATAAAAAAGGAAAGCGTGACACTCCAGCCATTTCTGAGCATTGCAACAACCTCTAGATCTGTTCTTGTTTATGTCAACTACAGCACCCCTAAAACTACTATAAATCACAGAGGGTGCTAAGCTAGCCTAGGCATCATAAGACTCCCATTGTCTCCAAGCTGCTTTCCCCCAGTGCGACCTGCTTGGGTGCAAGAAAAGGACGTGGTCCCAAAATCACTTTTGCACGCTGGCACTGTCAGAGAGATGAGGCTTGTTCTTGGAAAAAGGAAAAAGCCCACCTTGGCTTTGTTCTTGAAAACAGAGTTGGGGAGGCAGTCGTAATTCAGATGTGTTGCCAAAGTCCTCGGAGATGGAATTTGCTTCATCTCTTTAGAAATAAACAGAACCATAAGTGAGAACAGGTTTATTAAATGGGTGCAGCAATGATTTGCGAGAGTCGCTTGTGTGAAACAGCCCCTAATCAAAAGGCATTAGTCATCCCAGATTATCGTTTTTTCCCTCTCAGGAGAAATATCTTTACTTGCTGCATGACTTCATTTTAATAACTTGTGTGCGGGGGTGCAGGAGAGAGAAAACAACAGATTTTAAGTAGTTCAATAGCTTCTTTTCACTAACCTGGTATTTACCTAGATCTCCACATTCAATAAATGGTAGTTCTGTGCTCACAGGTTTACTCTGGATAGTTGTAAATATCAAATCACTTAAAATCTCAATAAGCCAGTTCACACCTGCACTAAGAAACCCAGAGAACAAAATGAAACATAGCAGAGGTTTATATAAGATCCCAGAGCCTTCTCATTACATGGCTAATTCAGCATAATAGACAGTCATCAAATGACAAACAGTATTGAAGTTCTCAAATGATTATAAATAAAATAATGCCTTCCATTAATGAGATCCTCAGCAGCTTCTTATCTGTGACCAAGGGCTCACTTATAACTGGTTATGTGGTATGGGGGCAGAACTGGATCAACAATGCACTTAACATCATTTTACCATATTCATTAAAGAGTGCCAGACAATAACAGGAGCTTTCTTGTCTTTTGCAGAAGCATCTAGGAAGGTTCTAGATAGGAGAGGGAAGCAGTGAGTAAGCAGCGTCACTCATTTTGCCAAGGGCAGCACCTGGCTCTCTCTATGCCCTAGGTCAAGGACAGAATACAGTCACCTATTCAATATCACTGCTAGCACTTGTCCTCTGTGCCTATCGCTGTCTCTATAAAGTGCACACCAGAACAAGTGCTAGAAGAGCTGTTACCCACTGGACACCTGCATTCTCCCCACCTCTGACCCTTTGGAAGGGATCTTGCAGCAAAGCCTCCCCCATACTGGATCCTCTTCAGTGTGAACCTGTGGCCAGCTCCTGGAGCTGTGCCATGGTGCCTGCTTTCCCGAAGTTTCCAGGAATCACATTTGCTCCTCTGATACTCTGCCGATTGCCGGCAGGACAAAGCAAGGGAACAGTGTGTTCACCTTGGCCCACAGCACCCTCCCTGCATCCTTGTGGGGAGGTGCTTTGGAAGGCTTCCCACCAGGCCCACAGAAATGGAGCTGCGGAGCTGCCGCCTCCTGCACGCTGAAAGTCCCCTGTGAACACAGCTGCCAGAGGCACTAGCAAGGAACATGCAATGCAAACAGCTTTAACCTCATGCTTTCAGTGGAAAGTTATTCCCAGAACAGAATAACTTCCACCCCATGCTACACAAAGTGCCTCAGGATGCTTGAATGGAAGCAGCTGGTATGTCAGCATAGTACAGTAATGTTTATACAATTTGTACACATCACATAATGTCTTAGAATATTACATTTATATACCACCCAATCATACTTATTTATAAGACACTGTATGATTCTATGATTTATATCATTCTCCCATTTATACACAGATCAGAGCCAAAAGCATTAAGAGTTCCAAATCCATGTCCTCATCTGCCCAATATTAACTGCATGTGCACAAATACAAATTTTAACAAAAACCTTCAGTCGATACAGCTAAAATCCCTAGTCTCTAAAACACCTACTGGCTTAAACCATGACACTGACCTACCACAAACTGCCCAGTATTAGCAGTGTGAGATCTTTATCTACTGATCCTTTTCCCAAAGCAGGAGAGGTTTACTGAGTTACTAAACCTCAGAGACTATCAGCATCACAGCTCCATGTCTGAACTCTTCCAAACTCGATGAGAAATCAAAGCTAAGCTTTCACAATGACCTTTTAGGCCTTCCTAGTGTCCAGCAAAATGCTGGACCCAAACCCAAAGGAATTATGGGATCCTTAAAATAAAGATGCACATTTCATATTTTGTGCTAGCTCTCTTCTTTTGTATTTTCCCTCTCTTCCTGTTGGTTCGGTATTCTGTCTCACAGCTGCTATAAATTCACCCTAAACATTACAGGCATACTTCCTACACCCTTAAACATACAAAAGTCTCTTTTCAGATCAGAACTCACTAGCCAGCATGGATTCTGTGTGCCAAATGAGATCTTGATCTAGGACTCCCTGGTTAGAGCCCAACTTGAATGCATCCACCACCATGTTCATGAAATGAAATCCTTCTCTGGACCCACATTTTCTCCAACCACCTTCTTCAACAACCCAAGAAGCTTCTGCTTCTTAGGTTTTAAATAAGAAACATATTCTTGGGGGAGGACTTCCTAGATTAGCAAAACCCATCCGTTTCTTGTAAGCATTCTTGTAAGCAACCATGTCACACTTGACATTTACTAAAACTGGTCAAAATCAAGCAGTGGGTTGTTTGTTTTTTTTTCACTGCTCCTGTTGCACCTTTCCTCCTTTCTGCAAGCCTCTGACTCAATACCATTTTGCAGTCACAAAACAGAACACAAAAAACAATGCTGATACTGAATAATGCCAAGAAAGAGCTTATAATTTTGCAAGCGAAGGTGCTGTGTCCTGACACCTTCTACTCATTAAAAAGTCTAATGCATAACTTTATTGCTTTTGTACACTACACTACATTACTAACAAGCTTTCCAGAAAACACTTTATCATACTGGCAAAGTTGTCTTGTGTCACTGCTATATATATAAAAAATATGCTTTAGTCTTACTTCTTCAGTCAAAAAAGTTTCAAAGCTTCCTTCCAGAAACATAAACCATATTAAAAAGCCTGCTTGAGTAACATAAAGCTGGACAAAACCCTGCTGCCTCCGGCTGCAGCAGGAATGCCCAATGTCCTCACATAATATAAACCCACATTCAGTTGTTTTGCCTTCTCATTGTTTCAGCTCATTTGTTACAGTATCGTGGCTCACAAAAAGCAATTTATAACTTATTCACCACATTTGGGGTAGGACACCAGCACCATATCATCTCTTCTGGCTTCCAGGTCCTCCAGAGCTTGGAACATATCCGCACTGCACACTGTGACAGGATATGGGGTCCCCCGGTAGGAAAACAGCAGATCCTTCAAGGTAAGTCCTTCACACTTTGCCAACACTTTACTTATCTTGTCAACAAAGGTCATTTATCCTCAACCATGTTTGCCACCCTTGGGGTGTGAAACTGTCAGTCTAATGCAGTGAGGGCCTTTAACTAGACATTATTAAGGGGTGGAGCAGAAATCCTTCTACCCTCCCCTAAACTTGATATGTTTCTTTCTCTCCTCCCTTGCCTCCTTTCTGGAAATGGAACCTCAGTTGATCCTGTCCACTGACAATCTACAGAGCAGGAATTACTTTAGTAAGAAATCCCATTGAGAGCAAGTAATTCTTGCAAGCTCAGCCACCAGGGAAACAGAATTGGATAATTAATCACCCTGTGGGAATGAACAGCAAAATATTAGATCTAATCTTCCATAACATTAATGGGAATAAATAGCATCTCACTAAGAAAAGAAAATCCCTATTAAGAAAAATCCCAAGAGGTTTTATTTCGGCCATAAAACCAGCCCCACTCTATGAGTCAACAGAAATAGACAGTTAATGATATAAAACACTGAAATCAAAACTACAGAACAGGAAGAACACTACTGGCAAGGAAAGGATGCTGCCATTCTAGTTTCTAAATATGCCTATATGGAAGCTAGTCTGCACTAACACCCTTTTTCATATCAAAAAGATGCATACTGAGGTAGAATTATAGAATCATAGAATAGTTAGGGTTCGAAAGGACCTTAAGATCATCTAGTTCCAACCCATCAGGCAGGGACACCTCCCACTAGACCATGTCATCCAAGGCTCTGTCCAACCTGGCCTTGAACACCACCAGGGATGGAGCATTCAGAACTTCCCTGGGCAACCCATTCCAGTGCCTCACCACCCTTACAGTAAAGAACTTCTTCCTTATATCCAATCTAAACTTCCTCTGTTTAAGTTTGAACCCATTACTCCTTGTCCTGTCACTACAGTCTCTGATGATCTTGCATGGCACAGGTTTTGTCAACATCTCCATGAAAAAACTAGGATCCCTTTTCACCAGCTCTGAGCCTCGTGTACGTAGCTGTGTAGTCCCCTAGCAGTAAACAGAACAGCGCTGGCTCCCAGGGTATGACAGTGGGTGTCCCTGGGCAGCAGAAACAGGCAGTGCCACATCGGAACACCTGCCCTCAGCCAGAGGTGACGAGCGAGAGTCACGGACTGCCACCAGCACCACTGTGCCAGGCCTGCCGAGGCAGCGACGGGACCGGGGCAGCTCCTGCCACCTCCTGCAGCCGCTGCCCGTACCCGGGCAGCAAGGCACCACCTCAGCAGGGCCTCACACACAAACGTCCGCGCTCAACCAGCCACCACATTAGCAGGAAGACGCGAGGTGACGCATGCGCAGCCCGCTGCGCGGAAACGGCGCATGTGCGGCCGGTACCGTCAGTGACGGAAGGACTCTGTGGCCCTGCGGCAGCGATGGCTCGGCGTGTCGTGAAAGGCCTGCTGGTGCTGGAGGCGGCGGGGCTGCTCGGCGCTCTCCTGCTCTACCGCGCCATGGACCGCAGCCAAGGTGCGGCGGGACGGCCGGGGGACAGGATGGCGGCCGGGGCAGGGCGAGCTTCTTCCCGCCTGAGGCGCCTTCGGAGCACCTCACGCTGCCTGCGGAGGGGTTTGTAAATTAGGCTCTACTGACCTGGCTCGGCTTGTGTCCGTGTAGGTACACACACAGTGTTGTTTGCTGCACGGAACCTCGAGTACAGCTGTTACAGACAAGCTGCTGGTTTAGTTTTGCAAAGCCAAAACCGTGGAGACACTCCTGAAAGGCAGCACATGGCCCCCAGGAACAAAGCCGGGTTTGTGTGTTTGAACAGTAACAGCATCAGTTCAAACAGGCATTTAAAAATGAGAGGCTGTCTGCAATGAGGCAGTTACCAATCCTCCTTCAGGCACCTGATGCTCAGCCCTGAAGGGGTGCCCTTTCTCGGATATAGGTCTCACAGGCTCTGTGATTTGACATTTCCCAGGTAGACATCAGGCCCGGCTGGCATGAGGTACCCATGAGGTACCCAGCATCATCTTTCCAGTGATTCACCTTCAGTCCCTCAAGTCTCTCAGACTTAGGACTCTGCCTCAGCAACACAAAAATAAGCCAAGGTCCAGCTCAGTACTGCAAGATGTGCTCTGCACAGCAGTGGTCTTACTTTGCATTCAGGGCTCAGCAGGTCGCAGTGCTGGTTTGCCAAAGCTGTGGGAGAAGGCAGTCCTGCTACCAGCACGGCCAGTGCCAGCCAAAAGGCAGACGCTGCGGTGGCTTGGAGGGCACAAGCCCACCCATTTCAGCAGTAGCTCAAGCCTAACTTCACCTATGCTGTCAGTTGGCATTTCTTACCAGATGCCGGCAGGCTGTTATACTTCAGCTATCTTTCTTTGCATTTTTATTAAAAAAATATATAATAAAAATCTGCAGGATATGTGTATGGGCCTGTCTTGCTAGCTTGGTGCTGGACATTCATGGTTTCTCATTTCTCCTTTTCAGTTCTAGGTCCTAGCTCTTCTATGCCTTTGCAGAAGATAAGCTGTAGTTGATGTATTTCTGGAAGGTGCAGTGAGCTCTTTTAACAACTCAGTGTGCTTTAATGCTTTCTTTGTGTTTGTACTATCATTGGAAAGATCTTTCTGTGAGCTGCTGTTACTCATTAAACTAGCACAAAGCTATCATTACATGATTTTCTATTGGGTTGCCAGAGCAGCCCTCATGAGGATTCAGCAAACACCTAAAGCTGCATAAGGAAGCAGAGTAGTTTTCCCAGTTTTCATTTGCACATCAATCTGCTAGAGGCATTCAGCTTCCTGTGAATCTGTAGCTTGTATCTGGTTATCACAATTGTGAGAAAGCTTAGAAAACACTGCAATGATAGGGCTGCACATATAAATAAACTGAATACAGTCTGTAATACAGTGTAAAAAAAGTAAATTCAGATCACATTATTTAATGATGGCTGTAACTAAGGAACTCAAACTTAGGTAAAACTAATCTAGTTAGAAAAATAGTGCATTTAATTATTTACCCTAAACATGGTGGATAAAGTAACCGTGACTTATCTTTTTTGCCAGACTTCAGATACACAATGCAGAAGAAGTTCCCATCAATTCTGGAAGGTAGGTTTGCAGCTGTTGGCTTCAGAAGGAGGCTGAAGCTTCTGCTGTATCTTTCATACAAACTCAATTTTATTATTGCTTAAAACCTATCCCAGGAGACACTGCAGAAGTGTTTATTGTTATGCAGAGGTGTGGTTGGAGTGTCTCTGTTGGACAGACTCCTTGGAACTGAAGGACTGTACATCCAACAAAAACAGCCACAAAGTGGCTCACCTTTGGACATGCCTTACTTGGAGCTGACACGGATTTTCCTATTTTTCAGTGTATTACAAATCCAATGAGTGGTCTGGAATTCACGGCATAAGGGAGAATGACCAAATGGCATGGTTAAGCAGCAAGAACTGAAGTAAGAAAGGTGTGTGATTGACTGAAAAATTATTTTAGAATAATTATTGTAAAAAATGTCCATATTAAAATGCCCAGTTCATCTTTTTGATTTCTTGCCTTTATACTTGTTTTTCAGCCCTTTGTGCCTGAACTGTTTCTTCCTTTTTATGATGCTTTTCACATCCCGGTCATGAAGCCATTTGTCGCGCTCTATTTCCCATTGGATCTGTTTAATATCTGTAAGAGGAAAGGTGACGAGGAGTGAACAGCTATCTCTGATAATGATGTAAAATACAGATGAAACATGTAACAGTTAAAACTTGGCTGCTGTATTTATGAATGTCAATAAAGTGCAAGCTGCCTTTTTGTTTTTGACACCAGAGAAAGTTTTGGGGTTTTCATTTCACAGAACATACCCCACCTTCTCAGCACCTCATAGTTTAAGACCACTCTTGCCATTGCTTTGTATTTTACTAATGCTAGATATGCTTATGTTAAGAGTACACAGTGTTTGAGTGCTGCTGTTCACATTTTTCAGGTGACACCAGCAAGACTTGTAAAAGCTCTAGAGAGGACTGATTATTCACTCAGTATATGCACATTTAATTCATTAGAATTATTTCTGGGGAACTACTTTTGCTTCACCGATACTGCAAGGAAATAACCCAGTAGGTATATAAATGGCCATGTCATATGCCTTCCTTTTACAGGAATCCAGGACACTTTATCAGAGCAAAATTCACACAAATGCTTGACAGACAGCATGCTGCCCATCCTTATTTACAGTGTGAAAGGGCCACATGATAGCCTCTTCATCTTTTCTGAAGCCTTGCTCTCTCCAGTAGACACAGTTAACATTAGCACTGGGCTAGTAACTGACTGTCATGTCTTATTGACAGTGACCTACTGTCCCTATGTGTGACTTCTGACCACATGTGAATTTCAGTTAGAGAAGGTACATCTTATTAACTACAGAACCAGAAGAGAGAGAAGTGAAACAGCATTACACCTTTCTGCTGTTTGTACCATGTACTTACTTGCATTATCTCTGTTGGCCATGGCGTTCATTCCAATATTATCAAACTTAGACCCAACATTTTCATCCAGCAGAGAGCCAAACTTTAAAGAGAGAAATTTTAGTATTTTATTACAAAGAACCAGGTAAAATGCTTGATCACTTTTTGCTAAGTACTGATCAAACTTACCTCCTCTGCAGATGCCAGTATCTTGGCATCTTGGAGTTTTCTCTTCTTTCCTCGATTGGATCCTTCAAACAAAAAGCATTATTCTTATAAGACAGAATTTCAGCTTCAGAAAGACACTAAACCAAAGTGTTACCATGTGGTTGGGTTTTGGTGAGGTTTTTAACATGTTTTTGAGACCATCTAAAATAGCTGTTAGAAATGTTTATTCTTCACCTCCCCCCCACCCCCCCCAAAAAATGGAACGAGCACTTTCCAACCAAGAACTAATAGCACAAATCAGACGTTAGGAACAGATGCACAAACTGCGAGTACAACTCCAATTTTCCTTTGAAAGTTCCTTCTTTGAGTCCCAGTTCCTGCTTTGAGTCCCAACATCAGATTGTTACTCTGAATTCGGCAATGGTGGTTGAAGGACAACCTCCTTTTAATTCATGGTTTATTCATCCAAAGGCATAGATAATCTGATGTACCAAAACCCAAAGCTCTTCAGACTGTATTTGTATTAAGCTTTCTCACATGGAAATCATGGCAGTGTTCCCTTACCTTCTAGTGATCCCGCAAAATTCGTATCTTTCTTTCTCTTGCCCTTTTTATTGACAGACTTCAATTGTTTGTTATTGTTTGCATCTGACAGAAAAGAAAAAGATACATCAAATCTTCATTCTCACATCATGTACGTATATTTAAAGCACGGCAGATACTAAAATTTCATTTTAGGCATTTTTTGGTTTATAACGGTCCAAGTCATTACTTTAAAAAAGTTTAAAACACAGCACAAACAACCAAATCTGGGATTTCTTCAACCCAGACAATTAAAAATTGGTCAGTGGTGCACCATTCTTTATGCTTTTTTCCACAGCACCAAAAAGGAATGAAATACGAATCTAAGATACATAAAATATGAAGGCTAAAAGCAGGTGTTACATACACCTCAAATGTCTGCTTGGTAAGTTGGGTGAAATAATAATATGAACGACTACTGTGTTAACAGCTCTATGAGTAATTTACCTCCTCTGCCCTCAATCATCTCCCTGTGACCTTCAGTTTTTAGCTGAAATACCTCATTAATCTGTGCTTTTCCAGCCACGTAAAGCGTGTACAGTGTAAGCTGTGCTTCTCAGTTGAAAAGATAATAAAATCATGAAGGTGCAACAATCAATTATTATTACAACGGTAATAAAAATCTGGGTGCACAGTTGTATTAGAAGAGCAGCTGTTACTTATGAGACAGCAATTAAAATAAAAGTTACCTCATTTAAAAAAACAAAACAAAACCCAAACATTAACTAGGTCTAAAGAAATAAAAAAAAAACATCACCAAGTAGCAACACTTCCTTTTTATTTTTCTCTTGGACATCTTTTAATATGTCTGCCTACTGTACCCAGTTATTTGTGTATAAAGCTACTTTTGTTACTGCCAATGTTTTCAGAATGAAAGAAACAAGTCTTCCTTGCAAATTTTTATCCCCAGATGCCAAATTCCCACTCACACTTGGGAGACTGCTCCAGGCAATGTGTCTCTCAAGACTTCATTGTCCAGAGAAGGTCTTGTCACTTCTCTACTTAAAAGCCAAACCTCCCACTTAGGTAACTGAATCTGAATTTATATATGTAATTACATATTAGATAACCTAGTTTTAAAGCTCTTTTTTTTCTTTTTTTTTTTTTTTGGTAAGAAATGGTACTTTACCTAGGCTGTTATCATCATCAGACACATCCATAAATACACCTCCCTCTTCATCCATATCCTCTTCAAAGTCTTCCTCCATACTTCCTAAGGAGACTTCCTCATCATCCAGATCACTGAATTCATCTTCATCATCAGAATCCTCACCGTCAGCACTGGATCCTTCACTTCTTTGGCCTTTCTTACTGCCTTTGGTTTTCTTTTTTATATTACTAAAAAAATACGAAACAAGCTTAGCACTTTACCTGGCAAAATACTGTTTACACCCAGATGACATCTACTGGCAAACACTATGTTGGGAAAGTTCAAGATCATTGCAAACCACTATACATGTAGGCTGAGACCAAAGAAACACGTGTTACGCACTCAGGTACGTTTTCAACATCAACATGTGGAACTGTATTATAAAAGTAAAGCATTTTAAGAAGTTCTAAAGAGAATTCTATTATGAAACTAACAGAAATGTCAGTTTCAGTATCTTTTCTGCAAGACACACACACTGAAGCTATCCCTAGCAACTCTATTAAATGAAGAAATAATACTTTTTTTTCCTTTAAGTAAGGAAACATGGTTCTTCATATACTAGACGGTTACTTGGGTTTTGTCTCCTTTCTACTATTTTTCACTCACACCAGTCCAGTTCACAAAAATGTTCAGTTTCAAAAACACTTTAAGCTTTCATTCTCCTTTCACCTCAAAGAAAGAAAGTTTCTGTGTTGATTCAAAAGAGGCTACTTAATCATTAAAGGTCTTTTTAAATTTTAAAGGCCTTTTCCAACCTACGTAAGTCTATGATTCATGAAACTGCTGACTTCCTGAGAACTGAGCTCTGTGATTCTGGATTTCACAGAGTTTATTTACTGCAGTAGGTCCAGTTCAAACAGTCCTTATTGCAGCAGTACCATTATGCCCCATTCTACCTGCTCTTGTACGTGGTAATTCTCAGAAACCTGAGACCATGAAAAACAAGATTTTTACCTTGCTTATTGAATCACCGCATTGTATAAACAAAATACTACAGGTCTCGTGTCAAGCCAGCAGACTGTAAGAACCACAGGATCACAATGCTCCATTATGGGACATGCAGAAAAGCAGCATTACCCAGCATTCAGCTGATATTGCCCTTTTTGCAAGGTGATATTCTGAGTGGCTTTGAAAAAGGTCTGTGCAATTTTGCAAGGTAAAACTCTACATCAATATGAAAAGAAGAGGTGAAAAAAACCAATTTCAAGTCTTACCCAGCAAAGTCAAGGTCATCCTGGCCAACATCAATGGCATTATCAGCAGCTTCAAATGCATCTGGGGGAAAAAAAAATCGTTTATTACTACAAAGGCAAACAAAGAAATATGAAGTAACTGCCAAATAGATTATTTCTAGGTATCATTTTTCTGAGCAGTTTATATAATCTGCATCAGTAACAAAGGGCCCTGATACCAAAGGGTTCATGCTTCTATAGCAAAATACTCTACAAAACAGTTACCTAAAGCTAACTGGATTTTTTTTCTGAGAAAAATCTTTTTCTGTGAAAAATAATGAAAATTTTCTTTATCCAGTGTCCTGGATAGCAGTCATGTTTTTCCTTTGTGTTAACTGGTGCAGTGCTGTGTTTTGACTTCTAGTTTGAGAACAGTGTTGGTGAAGCCGATGTTTTTGGTTGTTGCTAAGTGATGTTTACCCTGACCAAGGACTCTGTGAGGCTCATGCTCTGCCAGGGAGGAGGGGAAGCTGTGAGGAAGCAGAGACAGGGCGCCTGACCCGGGCTAGCCGGGGAGGTATTCCATACCACAGCACGTCATGCCCGGGGTGAGGGGTAACTGGGAGTTACCCGGAAGGACAGGGGCTTCCGGGTGGAACTCGTTTTCTTGGCCGGTGGTATCGTATTCTCTTCCCTTGTTATTTTCCCTTATCATTGTTTTAGCTGATAGTAGCGGTGGTGATTTGTTGCTGGACTGTTCTTGTCTCAACCCGTAGGAGTTGCACTCTCTCGATCCTCCTCCCCGTTCCTCCGGGAGCGGGGAAGGGGAGAGCCCTGGTGCAGGGGGGGGGAGACAGACACGGACCTTGATTGTTGTCAGCTCGGCACCACTCACTGGGAGTGAGTGAACAAGTTACCTGACTGGGTTTAAACCACGACATCCAGGATGTCATTTCTGGCCAGAACTAGATGTTGTGGAAGCAGGCACAAATAGTTTGAAACACTGGGCACACAATTGCACAGTGATTCAAACTTAATTGGCAGGTGGGATATCACAAGGGATACTAATACTTGCTTCAAGCCAGATAGAACAAAGTCTCAATTAAGAAACCCCAAGCAAGTGTCATGCCAGCTAATCTACGTGTTAATTTTCAGATAAGAAGTTTTCACTATAATTTTTCACAGAAAAGCAAGCAGGCTAAAGGATGAGAGCTCCTATCATCGGATTCACTTAAGAACAAATTGCCATACAAAATAGCAGACAGAAACAAAACCTGAAAAATTACAACTTGTTTCAAAGGGTAAACACCAACATTAGAGGGTACTTAATTTAAGCTTCTGAATATATGAATCAAATTCTCAGAGACAGTCAACTTAGAGGTACTAACAATAAATGACAAACACAATTGTTATCAGATTCTTGCCCATGCTACTTGAGTCACTAAGGAAGAATCCTGCTATGGGAGCTCAGAATTCTCTAAAAATACTGTACAAATCAGTTATGGGGAGCTAGCTGGTTTTCATGGGGTTAGTTTGGGTTGGAGTTTTGTGTTGTTTTTTTTTCCAAATATATGTACTATTCTATAAATAAAATATGAAATCATAAAATAATGGACATTTTATGGTACACTAACAAATTCGTATTCTGGAACCAATCATACACTAATTCCAAAGCAAACAAAGCACATGCTACAGGAAGAACTAAGACTACTGCAGAAGTTAGCCACGGACTTAACTGAACAAATAACTGCATGAAGGATGTAAGGAAGAATATGAGGAAGATTGAAAAAGGCCAAGCAGTAAAGAAAGAACAGAAGCAGATGTTACACGCTGGTAGAAAAAGTTATTTAACTCTCAGACTACATATGGAAAAGAAAAAAAAGGCATGAACTGCCACCCACAACCTTATGTTCAAAATCAGACAATTTCTACCCATTTGAATAAGCAACTACTGGAGTAGTGAGAGTAAGACCTCTGTCACAAGATGGCCATCCAGTACGCTTGTGTGATGGATAGGATGAAATGTCGGCTGTAGTAGGGAACTAGAATAGGAACTGGAAAGCCAGTTTTTTTCCACTTCCATGTTCCTGTATCTGGCCCTTATATACAATATAAACTACGGAAAGGATAAATTAATGATCTGCAAAAGCAGGAAATACTGGCATAGTTACTACAAGAAAAAAAAACAACCTTACCCAATGCTCTTTCAAATTCATCGTCATCTACATCTTCCACACTTTCTTCATCATCCTTACGCCTTTGTTTCTCTCTCCTCTTATCAAACTTAGAATAAAATCTGAAATAATACATTGCTCTTAGACACAAGATTACAGGTAATGATCTTTATGATCAGTTTATTTAAAAAAAAAACTGAAACAATCTGCAAGCTGTTTCATGTGTATGTTGCCAGTTAAGTAATGGTTTCAAATGCATCTCAAATCAGAGATGTATATTTTTTGTGTTTCAAAGAATATAAATCATTTCTGTAAGATTTTAAACAAAGTTTCACAGCCAAAGGTGCCAGAAATTATTCTGAACATGGTGAATTTATAAAAGAGTATAAGAAAGATGTGAAAATCTGCCTTACACTGATAAGAAAGAAAGGATCAAGTTCAACATGAATCTAACGGGGGGGGGGGGGGGGGAGAGATTCACCCATTAAGTTCTATTAAATTTTCCCCTGTAGCCCTCTTCTTCTGCGTGCTTAGTACTACCTTCTGTCAGCCATTTTAAACCACTTTCTCTCCTTCATTTCATGTTAAAGAACCAGCAAACACAGAAGGCAATTCTGGGCAGATACAAGAGCAAAAGAGTACAGCACTTTGTATGGAAGACTTTGAATGTGTGAACAGTTAACAACTGTTAACTTCCCATAGAGGGCATTCTTTTAAGCTGCTTTTCTTTAATCTCAAAATTAATACCACTTTTTAATTTCTTTTTTACATTACATTCCTCAATATTGTATCAATTGATTTAAAATAGTTAAGTTCCATTAACCCAATACTTCACAAAAGCAATGACTATATTAATAAAACAAAACAAAACCAAATAAAGTGAATTCAACAAAGTAAATGAAGTTAATTCAAACACTGATCTCCTAAGGAGACACTAACCAGTATTTTGAGCTACGAAAAATAAATCTTTGCCATATGTGTATCACTTCAATTTTAATGTTACAGTTACATTTTTATATCATGAACTATGACTATAATAAAAAGAAGGGAAAACTAGCTCCTCTGACTGTTTTTTGCATTGTTCCATTCTAATAAGCTTTGATGCTAACAACATAAACAAGATATATTCCACTACTTTTTTTTAATATACTTCTAATGCATAAGAATTACAACCCACAAGCCATTCATCACCACCCACTGTTTAAGGCTTCCTTATTGCAATGTCAACTTACTTAATTTTGGACTACAAGCACTGGTTGCTTATCTTCATAAGTGACAACTCTTTCCTAAGCACTTCTGATAGATGTTGAAATTACATTCTAAGGAAAGTACTATCATCAGAAGTCACTCAAATTAATCAAATTTTGAGAACACTTGGAATACCACAGAGTATTTAACAAAATGCAATGGGGTTTGATGGCACTGCAGTAAAAAGACAACACTTCAAATGAATGTTCATAAGTATTTCATTACCTGTGAAAAAACACTTCATCCACTGGGATTTTGCTTTCGTCTTTGGCACGGAATTCCTTACTGTTGACTGCAAAAAAAAAATAGAACTGATTTTACCTCAGGCTGAAATGACTGTTATTCTTTTACAAGGTTA